AACGACCTCGGCGAAGTCAGGCTGGTGACCAGGGTTGTGCTGGGATTCTGGTCGGATCTCAATGTCGGCGGACTCATCCACGATTTCTTGCATCGTGTTCTGAATAAACTCATCGAATGAGTCGAGCTGCTGACGCACCAAACCCTTCTCCTCAAAGTAGGCACTGATCACCGCCCACGCGTCCTCCTGTGTTATCTCCTCCTCGTCGTCATCGTACGACTGATCGTAATACTCTTCCTCCATGTCCATATCTTTAATTGATATCTAAATTAATTCAATTCAGCTCAACACTAAATTTAAAAACTCGTATGTATAGATTCAGGGGTTTGTCTCTAAACTCAGTCGGAGCCGACTGCCGAGAGAGAGGAGAAGAGAGAGCCTGCGGGAAGAGAAATAAAGAGAAGCAATTGTGTGTGGCAATTTATATTTACAGGCAGTGGGGCGGCTAATTCAATTTAGACCCTGCATATTTGTTCCTTTTTCTAACGGTCAAGATTTCGTGGATGTGACCGTGACGAGGACTTTTTCTAGGGCCTATTAAAATTTTAAAAAATTACTATTTTCATCTACATCACATTTCGATTTTATACTTATTAGATTCATTCATTTAAACACTATAAATTCACACAAATTTTATATATTCATTCCACTCTAAGGGGGTGTTTGATAGATATTTTTATGTGAAAATGCATTTTAAAATAGTAAACTGATGTGAAATGTGTGGTTGAAAAATAAGGAAATTTTTTTGATTTACGTGTAATATTATTTTAATAAAAAATGTGTGGTTGAAAAGAAGAGAGAAAAATACATTTTGAAAAAAATAGCTATCAAACGAGGCCTAAATACATCTTTAGAGCCTGTTTGGAAGTGATTTTGAAAATTGATTTTTTGACCGTTAGGAGAAAAGTGGGGTCCACCTGTGAGAGAAGAAGTCAAATATGAGGACTGGAATAATGAAATAACGGTAAAAAAATTAATTTTTTAATAAAAAAATCGAACCCAAACAGACTCTTAATATAATTTCAAATTTTTTTAAAATCACTATATGCATCCCCATTACCTAGAACATCAACTTCTTCACAATTTAATAATTAATTCTATAGACCAAATTATAAGATGAGATTCTATGAACCATAAACTCCCTATAATCATCACCACCTTCAATACGACATGAACTCTATAAATAAAATTATACAATCTATTTTATGGAAAATTAGCAGTTTTTTTTTTTAAGAAGTAATTAGCAAATTTTAAACTATACATAATAAAATAAAAGTCAATTTAAGATAAGGAGAATACGGAATTAGTCAACAATATTTTAGAGAGAATTTTGTGAAAATAAAATGAAAGGATTAGAGAAATGGAAATGATAATTTTATCGAAAATAACCCGATTATAAATATAAAAATAAAACATATTATTGTCTAATTCCTTCTACAATTTACTTTCAATTGACTTTTTTTTTATCATGTATAGTTTAAAATCTGTTAATTTAGTAACTTTCAAAAAAAAAATCTAATTTTTTCATAAAATGGGAAAATAATATTTTATAATTAGCAGAGTCTTAATTCCTGTTTGATAGAATTTATTTGGAAATAATAAGTTGTTGAATAATATATTTTTTTAGAATATATAGTTAAAAAGTAATGAAACTTTATTGATTTATGTGTAAAATATTTTATTGTATGAATATGTGGTAACGAAACAAGGGCTTAGTTAAACACAAATCCTATGAGAATATAAAAAAAGGTCCAAAAAATTTAATGAAATAAATATTAGTGGATGAATTTAGAATGATATATTTTTATTTATTCTATATATGTCTATTTAAGTGTGTGTGTGTGTGTGTGATCCGTGGATGTAAATAACGGTATCATTTTTATTTTTTTTTGGTCAAATTATTACTAATTAATTCAATAGAAATATTTTTTCATAATAATCATACTACATGTACCTTCTCTTTCATAAAAATCATGCTACATATTACTCCAATCTATTCTTTCCCCAAATCACAATTCCCACTTCATCACCCCTACTTCCTGCCCGCTTGCCCTCCCCTCTCAAATCCATATCCACTTATAGTTTT